CTGCCAAGGTCACGCAGCGAGCGTTCCAGGCGCTTAGGGGACGCAACAGACAGGAGGGAAGCCCTGGGGAGGGCGCGGGGCTCTCAAGGCGCCCCACACTTCTCTAAGTGGCTTCGCCCTCTGTGTCCATGGGCTCCCCGGGGACCCCTGGCCCCTAGGCCAGGGACGTGAACGCGCTGGCCCTTCAGGGCGTCTTTGTCACACACAGGCGCCCCACACACACACTATAACAACCTGCCGCCGGGTTGTCACTCCCTTTGCTGGTAAAGCCCGGATGCCGATGGATGGCCGCCTGTCCAGGTGCAGGACAATGCCCGCGCGCAGGTAGACATGCCCTGTGTCCCTCACTGCCCCCCTCCCCAGGCTCCCGCGTCTTTGCCTTGCCTTTCCACCGTCACACTCCAACCTGGAGTCCCAGCTCAATGTCACCTTCCCTGGACAGCCTTCCTGGGCTTCCTCACAAAGCCAGTCACTTCCCTGGGTGTCCTCCAGCGATGGTCACCTTCCTGCACAGAGAGCTGTAAGGACCTGCCTTCAACACCCCCGCCCCCATTAGAACATGAGCAGTTCACACAAGGGGCTACAATCCTGTTTGCAGAGGGTCCCCAGCGCCTGGACACCAGGCCAGAGTGGGGGCGCCCAGAAGGTGTGCTGAGGAGTAAGTGAAGGGTCTGCGCTTCTCTGGCTGCCCGCTGCCCCTCCCCACAGTCCTGCCGCCCCTGAGCTCCTGGTGAGGCAACAGGGCGGCTCTACAGGCAGCCTGGGGTGGAGGTCAACAGGGCGGTGGTTGTGTGCCCTGTGTTCTAGTCACCCTTGGCAACCCCATGTGACAAACTGGAGCTGCCCATTGGGTTCCCTAGGCTGTGATCTTTAGGGAGGGGATCACCAGGGGGTGTGTTGGAACCGCCCACCTTTCAGTTAGCAGCTGAGCACTTAACCCTTGCGCCCCCAGGACTCCTTCCTTCAGTAATAATGATGGTTGATGAGCCATCTGGGAGCTCTGGTGGTGCAGTGCCTAAGGCATTTGACTACTAACCAGAAGGTTGGCAGTTCAAACCCACCAGCTACTCCAAGGAAGGAAGACTGGGCTATCTACTTCCGTAAAGATTTACCACCTCAGAAACCCAAAGGAGGTCCCTATGAGTTGGAATCTACTCCATGGCAGTGAGTTTGGTTTTTGGGTTTCACGAAGGCATCTGCTCACATCATGTGCTGTGTTAAGTGTTTGCATTCACTGTTTTCAGTTCAAAGGAGCACTCAGTGGTTAAAAAAATCAGGCAGCTAACCAACAGGTCTGTGGTTTGAACCCACCATGGGCTCTGTGGGAAAAAGATGAGGCAGTCAGCCTGTGGGACCGTTCTACTCTGTCCTCTAGGAGTGCTGCGAGTCGAAGCAAATGCATGCCATTGGTTTTGGTTTGGGCTTTGCTTCTGTAAAGATTTACAGCCCTGGAAACCCTATGGGGCAGTTCTCTTCTGTCCTCTAGGGGCACTGTGAGTCAGAACCAACTTGATTGCAGAGGATTTGGTTTATTTTCAGTTTTGTCAATAACACAAGGAGGGTAGTATTTATCACCACTTCCGTATCAGGAAACTGAGGCTCAGAGTAATGTGGTACTTTGCCTGTGGTCCCATGGTGGCTGGGGGCCCCCAGTGCCCCCGCTGTGCAGCCCCCTTCCGCAGCCCCCTGCTCTGCCTTCCCGGGTAACAGTCTGTGACGCTCATCCTAGCAGTTGGCAGAGACACCCCCTGGCAGCTGAGGAGGAGGGCTGGTGACTGGGAACCAGCAGCAAGCCCACTGAATCTTCCGCTGCGACCCCTCCTCCTGACAGAGCCTTCCAGGTGGGCAGATGCCCAGCACTGTGAGTGCCCACGCGGGGTCCTCCAGCGAGGACAGGGACAAACGTCTCCATGAGATGCCCAGGAAGCGGCCCCACCCACCCACCTGGCTGAGCACTGGCCTGGGCCTCCTGGGCTGCACAAACGGGGCTGCTGTCCCCAGCCTGCCGTCCTGGGGACACTGACCCTCTGGTCCCTTTGAAGCTCAGAAAACCAGGGACAGTGGAAAATTTTCTGCAGGCACTCACACTTGGGTCTCTGACCCCCAGCCAGACTCTCTCTCCAGGCACACAGCAGTAGCCACCATGACTGCTCTGTGCCAGAGAAAACTCTGGGGGCAGGGGACACCACTGTGGACAAAGCAGACTTCCCAAAGTTCATTCAGACCAGGTCCACGCACCCCTCAAGTCATCTTCTCAGTCTCATAGTTTGCACCTCGGGCTGGAGACCGGAAGCTGCAATAAGAAATCCGGGTTCCTTTCTTCTCAGACCCACAGGTCAGCGAGGCAGGATGGCACATCCCAGACCAAGGTGCCCAAAGTCACCCAGGCCTTCTAGGGAAGTGCTCTGCAGCTCCTTCTAGCCCCAGCCAGCCACCAAGGCACCATGGGTCGGGGCCCCCAGCGGTGTCCCCTAGCTCAGAGGGATGAGAACTTCCTCAGCCTGTGTTCTGCTTATGACAGTGAATCAGGCACCACTCCTGCAAGGCCATGTCAGAGCACACAGGGACGGAGGGGACATGCCCAGCAGCTCCTTGTCCTATGTGCACAGGATTGCTGCTCCTGCTCCAAGAGTCCTGGCCCCTTTGCTCACAAAGGTGAGCCCATCCCAATGACGCCCAGCCATGCCAGGCTAGAGCTGGTGCCATTGGAATGAACCAGACCGGAGTGGCCTTGCCTGGCCCTGCTCTTCTGCTGACTAACTGTGTGATCTCAAGCCAGCTACTTGACATTGCCAAGTGCAGGGCAAGGAGATCCCCACTTTGAGGGACCTTCCTGAGGACACACCTTGGGACACTGGGGGACTGTTCCTCCTCTCTGCTCCACTGTCATTGCTAGTGCTATTCACATACTTCTGCACATTGGGCTCAGTCCCCTGTGGATCTCGGCCTCCCACTCTGCTCACCGAGCTCCGTGGGGGCAGCCACATTGCTCATCCCAAAGCTGGGTGCCTGGCCGGCTCCTGGGACACACTCAGCACTTGTTCAGAACCACTCCTCCTCAGTGTAGTCTTGATGGCACCACCTCCCGGCTCCCTCGACCAACGAGTTTGTCATGCAAGACAAGCACCAAAAGATGGCACACCCTTCCCTAGAAATCAGTCATGTCTGTGTCAGGAGAGACACCAGGAAGGTTTCCTAGATCCTCTGCTCCTGTCAGGTCCAGCAGGAAAGGCACCGTCCAGACTGGACCGGGGCTGAATCGGCTTCACACAGACACGGGCCCTCTTCAATGAGGAGAGGGGCCCAAAGCCGCCCCCATGGAGCAGGGATGCCTTGGCTGAGGACGAATGGCTGTCAGTGGCTCTCTTAGGATTTACTCAACCTCCCACATGTAACTTTACAGAGATACAACTGGAAGACACCTCAGAGACCAGCCAGCTCAGAAGCCACTGGTTATAAAGATGAAGTGACTGCTGCCTAGAAATGTGAAGGGACCCACAGGGATCAAGTGGAGAAGTGGAATGCACACACACGTGTATGCACACACACATTCCACCCCATATCTTCCCGCCCGGCCACCCACGTACCTGAAGAAAGATACCTGTCCTCAGCCTTTGTATCTACCTGTCCTGCAGTCCACACCGTCTTCTCTCTGTTTGGTGGTTCCATTCTCAGGGATGTCAGACTTTCTGGAGCCACCGAGGCTGGATAAACCCCTGAAACTTTTGCCCTGAAATAACCTTTAAACCTGAAAACAAAACTATGTCTTGAAGTTTCTTAAAAACCAAATAACAAACCAAATCCATTGCTGTCAAGTCAACTGCAACTCATAGCAATCCTATAGGAGAGAGTAGAACGTTCCCATAGGGTTTCCAAGGCTTTGTATTTTTATGGAAGCAGGCTGCCACATCTTTCTCCCATGGATGGGCTGGTGGGTTTGAATTGCCGACCTTTGGTTAGCAGTCAAGTGCTTAACCACCTGAGTCATGAAGAATGTCTGCCTTTAGCATTTTGCTCATTTAAGATCTACACGGGATCAAAGTGACAGCAGCAACTCAAAAGGTTAGATGGGAACCTGGGCGGGAGGCAGTGAGCTTATCTTAATGGGGGAGGAACAACTCAGGAAAGGAGGGGAGTGGTTGTACAACTCAAAGAACGTCACTGGATTGTACACTTAGACATTGTCGAATTGGTGGATGCTTTGCTGTATATATGCTCAACAGTGACAACAAAGAAAATTTAAATTAAAAAAACGAAAGTCCAATTCCTCTAGCCAACTC